GGAGGGAGGGAGGGAGGGAGGGAGAGAGAGAGAGAGAAAAACATTAGTGTGATAGGGACACATCGATTGGTTGCCTCCCACATGCACCCAGACCAAGGCCAGGGATCGGACCTGCAACCCAGGTGTGTGCCCTTGACAGGGAATCTAACCCGAGATCCTTTGGTGCATCGGCCAACACTCTGAGCCACACTGCCCAGGGATGTTAAATATTTTTAATGTCACACCTGGTGACAGCCACACACTGGCTCTATTCTGTTCTCAGCTTGAATACAGGACCCCACACCCCTCCTGGGTGAATACAGGGTCTGTCCTCAGAAGAGGCGGCGCTCCCAGGTCCCAGCTACCCCTTTCTGCCCCAGTGGCCTCCCACCAGGGAGAGTGGCTTCCTGGATGTTCTCAGGGGAGTCCAAGTGCATGTGGGTCAAGTTTAGAGCCTAGGAGGTGCCGAAAGGGTGGGCACCTCATTCAGTGACCCATGTCAATCTCCCCAGGCGGCTGAGTGTGAATGTGAAACCAGGGCGGGGCCTTGGTCTACTGAGGGCTGGGTCTGAAGAACTCTCTGTTCCACCTCCTTATTGCCCATTCCCATCAGCACCGGGGAAGCCAGGCTTTGTGCCTCAACCCGCATGTGCACACACATGTGCACACATGTGGCACATATCACACACATACTTATCACATACATCATACATTCACTGCACACACATCATATGCATATACATATGCCGTACACACATGCACATGCATCATACACATACACACAATGCACATACACATATCATGCACGTACGTACATAAACACAAATAGTGCACATACATCATACACATATACATACCCACAAAACTCACATCATACACATGCATCATACACACACATACCATATGCACACATCATACACATATCACACACAAATATATACACATCATACACATACACACACATATACACACACCATACACACATATACACACACATACACATATAATACCCACACATTATACACATACACACACACCATACATGCACATCATACACACACAAACATACACACACACTTACATACAGACACACACATACACACATCATGCACATACACTTTCAGATTGTCTACCCTCATCACCCTTTCCTGGCCTGCTGCACAAAGCAATTGGTCACATATACCCCGGGGTACACTGGGTGAAAATAAATCCCCTTCTCTCTAAGAATAATAGCAGCATTGATTGAGCCCTCAGCACCCGCCAGGTGCTGTGCTAAACCCTGGCTGTGGAACATCTAATGTTACTCTCAGTGTTGGGTATGTTACTATACCCATCTGACAGATCACGAAACTGAGGCCCAGAGAGGGTACAGTCACAGGAAACGCCCTGCAGTGAGACAGTTACAGGGCAGAATGTGAAAGCAGGCAGTGACTCCCCTGCCCATGTTTGCTCCACTACACAGTCCAGGTCCCTCTTTTTTATCTACTCTGGTAAGAGTATCTCTCGTCCCACTGTGCCTCCAGTCAGACGTGTATGGGATCCTCGAAAGACCCAGTGGCTCAGCGGTTGAGCATCGACCTAGGATCCAGGAGATTGCGGTTCGATTCCGGGTCAGGGCACATGCCTGGGTTGCTGGCTCAGTCCACAGTCAGGGGCATGCAGGAGGCAACCGATCAATGACTCTCTCATCATTGATGTTTCTCTCTCTCTCTCTCCCTTTCCCATCTTCTCTCTCTGAAATCAATAAAGATATATTTAAAAAATAAAAAAATAAAAAAGACCCATTGGCCCGAACACTCACCCTGCAGAGCAGCTGGGAGCCTCTGGGCCTGCCAGGAAGGGGAAGCCAGCAGGAAGCAGAACCCAGTCAAGTACATGTTCTCCTTGCATGCATGGCGCACAGTGGGGCCACAGGCCTGGGGACAGAGGGCGTTGGTGGGAGAGGCTGCCCCTGCTTCTGTCCCACCCTCCCATCCCAACTTCTCCACCTTCCACAAGAGCCTCAGCTCCAGCAGCCTCAGGTCCCCACTCCTTCCTCAGGATGCTCCCGTGACCCAGGGCAACTCACCAGCAGCTGAGAGGGGTTGGTGGCAGCTGTCAGAGATAGGCCCAAGGACATGTTCACAGCCTCTGGGGGGACTGAGGGGACAGATATGTGCATGGTCATCCTCAGGACAGAGGAGCTGTGTACAATCTGGGCAGGGGTCACCCCATCCCTGGGAAACAACAAGGTCTGACACATGAAGGGGGTTCCTAGCTCTTGATGGAGCTAGGAGGGTGCAGGGAGCAATGGGTGGGGGTGCCTTTGGGGATCAGGAAGCCTGGCTGATGGTGAGGGTTTGCAGACAGAGCGAAGGCTTGAAAGTGGGTCCCCTGTGCTCGCCACAGACTCGGCAGAGCATGGACGCCTGGACCTGGATCCCAGGGAGGGGCAGGGACTCACCCTGCAGCTGGACGGGCTCACAGGTGCCCGTGCTATAGTCACACTGGTAGAGGCTGCCCGTTTGGTTGGCAGCCTTTATCTCCTGGGGGTCCCCAACCACCACCCTGGGGGGAGGTAAAGAACACTGCAGTTAAGAGTGTGGACATTACAGACAGAGAAAGACAAATACCGTGTGATTTCACTTATACGTGGAATCTAAACAAAATACACAAACAAGCAAAAATAAATAGACAGTGAAGAAACTGAGGGTTGCCAGATGGGAGGGGGCGAAGGGGCTGGGTGAAAGAGGTGAAGGAAGTGAGAAGTTACAAAACAGTCACAAGGAGGTGAAGTTCAGCACAAGGAATGTAGTCAGTAACACTGTGATCACCATGTATGTGCCAGGTGGGGGGTCACTTCATAAATTACATAAATATCTAACCACTGTGATGTACACTCAAAGCTAACATAAAATTTAGAAAAAGAAGTGTGGACTCTAAAGCCAGAATGCCACTCCAGCAAGTTCGCTTCAGCTCTCTGTGCCCGTTTCCGCATCTGTCCAGTGGAGGTTAATAACAATTTAAGTTCTGCACGGGAGGGATTTTCGTCTGTTTCATTCTCTGGTGTATGCCTGGCTCCCGAGACATGCAGTAGGTGCTCAATAACTGCTGAATTGAGAACTAAATCAATACCCCCATAAAGGGTGCTTGGCAGTGTCTGATGCCTAGTAAGTGCTCAATAAATGTTAGCTGTGATCATGGAGATGGCAAGACAGCATCCATTTTCAGTTCAACTCTTCATAACCTTGGGGGAACTGCCTTAACAGAGAGAAAGGAGAGCTCGTGAACTAAGGGAGGGGTGGAGAGGAATAGAACCCTGTGCGGGGAGCGGAGCTGATGAGAGCCAACGGCCAGTCACCACCCGACCCTCACCAGGAGTTGGCGTACTGGACCACACTGTGTCCAAACCCAGCACTGTTCCTGGAGAAGATTGTCGGCTTGTCCGAGTCCAAGTTGAAGCCGTGAGAAGAAGCCAAGGCTGGGGAAGAGGGTGAGGAGAGAAGCTTTAGAGAAGGGCCTTCCACCTGCTCCATCTCCCCAGGCGTGACCCCCATTCCCCCCGCCGAGCCTCGAGCCCCAGTGTCTCCTGGTCTCCTGGACTCCCAAGCCTGGGCCTCCCTCAGCCTTGCTGCTCTCTTTCAGTAGGTCCAGAGACTGCGCTTCACCCAATGCCCACTGACAAGTTTCAGTTCTCCATTTCTGCCAGGCAACACCCAGCTCTAAAGATGCCCCT